CCTGTCTCTATCAAAAACACAAAAATTAGCCAGGCGTGGTGGCGGGTGCCTGTAGTCCCAGCTACTCAGGAGGCTGATACAGGAGAACTGCTTGAACCCAGGAGGCAGAGGTTGCAGCGAGCCGAGATTGCGCGACTGCACGCTAGCCTGGGTGTCTAAGCGAGACTCTGTCTCAGAAAAAAATAATAATAATAATAATTTGGCTCAGTGCAGTGGCTCACACCTGTAATCCCAGCATCTGGGGAGGCCATGGCAGGAGAATCACTTGAGCCTTGGAGTTTGAGACCAGCCTGGGCAGCATAACAAGACCCTATCTCTAAAAAGATAAAATAAAAAATTAACCAGGCATGGTGGCACATTCGTATGGTCCCAGCTACTTGGGGAGGCTGAGGTGGGAGGATTGCTTGGGCCTGGGAGGTCCAGGCTGCAGTGACTTGTCATTGCACTACTGCACTACAAGCTGGGGAACAGAGTCAGACCCTGTCTCCAAAAAACACCTAAAAGTATTTTGGTGCTACATTTCTTCCAATAGTTACTGCTGTCAAGTTTTAAAAACATTCTCTCACTGGGCAAACATTTACTAAACACTATGTTCATTCTCTCATTCTAAATGTTGAGCTTCCACTATGTGCCAGTCAGATAAAACAGTAAGCAAAAATTGAGGTTGCAGAAGGTAGAAAACGTAAAACTGTGAAGAGATCTACAAACCACATTTAGATGGTTCCTTATGCTCAGAGCAACAGGAAGCCCTGACATAGCTTAAAATCTAGTGGAGAGGCAATCAAATCAAGTACCCCTATTCACTCTCTTGAAAATCTCACCCACGCTTTTAAATACTACCTCTACACTGACATCTTCCAAACTTGTATTTCTAGACTGGACCGGAAACATATGCCAGTATATATTCCTTAACTCAACTTTCTCCTTGGCTGTCTAACAGGCATGTTAAAGTAAATATGTCCAAAGCCAAACTCTTGCTCTTGCCTCAAAATCTGTTCCTCTAGCCTTTCTCCACAAGCGTGCATTATACATTATATTTTAAATGAATAGCACCCCTAGGGCTTGTAGAGGACAATAATAATTTTTCATCCCAGAGAGTATCAACTACATGCATCTGGCTTCAGGCCAAAAACCTTGGTGTCATACTTGACTCTTATTTCACATACAATGTCTGGCAACTTCTCATTATCTCTTCCATTCCCACCCTGATCTAAGCCACCTTCATCTTTCACCTGGTCTCCTTCATTCAGTTCTTGGTACCCCATGTCTTCTTGCCCTATGCTTACTTTGCCACATACCCTAATCAGCAGTCTGAAAGAGCTATTTAAGGACAGGTGCAGTGGCTCACACCTGTAATGCCAGCATTTTGAGAGAGGCCGAGGTGGGCGGATCACTTGAGGCCAAGAGTTTGAGACCAGCCTGGCCAACATGGTGAAACCCTGTCTCTATTAAAAATACAAAAATTAGCTGGGTGTGGTGGCACGCGCCTGTAGTCCTAGGGACTAGGGAGGCTGAGGTAGGAGAATTGCTTGAACCCGGGAGGTGGAAGTTGGAGTGAGCTGAGATCACACCACTGCAGCATTCCAGCCTGGGTGACAAAGCAAGATTGTGAAAGAAAGAAAGAAAGGAAAAGAGAGAAAGAGAAAGAAAGAAAGAGAGAAAGGGCGGGGAGGGAGGGAGGGGGAGGGAGAGGGAGGGAGGGAGGGAGGGAGGGAGGGAGGGAGTGAGTACAGGACAGGACAGGATGAAAGATGGAAGGAAAGGAAGGAAGGAGAAAGGGAGGGAGGGAGGGAAGGAAGAGGGACGAGGGACGGAGGGAGGGAGGGAGGAAGGCAGGCAGACAGGCAGGCAGGCAGGCAGGCAAGCAAGAAAGAAAAAGAAAGAGCTACTTAAAACCTAACACGGAAAATGTCACTTCTCTGCTCACAACCCTCTAATGGCTTCCCATCTTTTTCACAATGATGCTCAGGGCCCCACACCATCTAGCCCTCACCCTACCTCTCATCTTCTAGTACATTTCCTCCTTTGCTCACTCACTGTAGCTCACTGGCCTTTGCCCTGGCTTTCCCTTTGCCTGGAACACTATTTTCCCCAACACCCACATGGCTTGCTCTCTCACCTCCTTTAGGTCTTAACTCAGATGTCATCTTCTTAGTAAGGTCTTCCTAATCATCCTATCTAAGGTTTCATCCACTACCCTCACATTTCCTATTCTCTTCTCTGTGCTTTATGTTTTTCATGACACAGTCTAGCTCACCTCATTCAAATATCAGATCCAGGAAGGCAGGAATTTTAGTGTTTGCTCACTGCTGTACCTTCATTCAGCAACTAAACTAGATCTAAAAAATCACATATAATAGGCATACAGTAGGCATTCAGTAAGTATTTGTTGAATCACAACACAAATGTTAAACTCCAATTGACAAGTCCAGTGAAAAAGATAGAAAGATAAAAAAAAACCCTTGCCTCAGAAAGTCAAACTAGAGCTGAGAACTGAAAGATGGGTGGGAGTTAATCAGGATGTGCACAGGCTCAGTGGTGAGAGGGGCTAAAGGAAGGCTTGCATATATTAGACTAGAAAGAGATAGGAAAGATGTAAGATGGGATTGCAGAAGGTAGAAAAAGGTAGAAGTGCGAACAGGTCTACAAACCACATTAAGATGGTTCTGTATCGTCAGAGCAACAAGAAGCCAATGAGGTGTTTTAAGCAGAGCAATCACATGAACAGATTTATATGCTGAAAAGATTATCATGGCTACTGGTAATCTAAAAAAGCATTTAGAGGGGTCAGAGTAAATGCAGGTAGATCGAGTAAGAGGTCACTGCAATAATTCACTTAAGAGAAGACGGCATCTTACATTGGGGTGTTGGGAGTAGAGGCAGACTGGATAGATAAGATACTTAAGGGGTTAAAAAAAATCAATGGGATAAGATAACTGGAGTAAAGGCCAAGAGAATTTTAAGGTTCATTTTTAAGTTTCACAAAGTACTTTGGTCAGAAGTCCCAAGGGAATAAAAAATTCCCATAGATGTGAATTCTATGTCTTCAAGTAGTATTATCTAGATCTTCAATATCCAAGCTCCTAGCCACCAGTAGCTACTAAGCACTTGAAATATAGCTACTTCAAATAAAGATGTACTGTAATTGTTGTATATGTTGGATTTGAAGGCTTAGCAGAGAAAAAAGAATGTAAGATATCTCACTAATTGTTTACACTGATTACAAGTTGAAATAATATTTTGTATGTAGCAGGTTAAATAAAATCATTAAATTCAATTTCATCTTTCCTTTTACCTTATAATATGCTGGACAGTAGTGATCTCATATAAAGCAGCAATACAATTGTTGCAGTTCATTCAAAAGGAAAAAATATGTCTAAGGAGAAGACAGGTGAATTTCAGGCCAAAAAGTGTAATTTGCATAAAGAATTTCATTAAAAATTTTTTTTTTCAGAGAGGTGAGGAAATAAATATTTCTGGGTTTTCTTTTTTGCAATTTAAATACAAAAGTCATTTTCTATTTGTTCATTTACGGAATACATTGTTCTTCTTTTACCGCTAATCCAATGGTTCTATTTAAAGAGCCCTCTGTGGTATGGGGGAAAAGTTAGGAAAACACAGAATTGTGGAAATGATGGGGACTAAGAGATCATTTCCTATCCCGTCATTTATAGGAACTGAACTGGAGATACTAAAACAGTAAGTAACTTACTTGAAAATCACAGGACTAATACGGCCTAAATCACATAGGACATACATGGAAACTCATAGTCATTATAGTGTTCAGGGCCATTATAGACTTGTATATACACCATAATGAATACACTATATTTTGTTCCCAAAAGAACTAAAACAGTATCTATTTTATAGTACTGAATTTCAGGATTATCAATGACTTTGTTTTAGGATACAAAATCACATTGATGTTCTTACTACATAAGAGGTTAAGAAAAAAAAGAATCAGATTTTAGAGTCTGAAACCCAGTTCCACCACTTAGTTGTGTACCAAAGACAACTATCACTCTGTTTCCTCATCAGTAAAACACAGATACCATCATACTCAGAATGTGAAAATGATAGGAAAACTATACACACACAAACTACATGCTTACAGTGAATAGATGCATAATGTTAGTCCTTTTGTTTTTGTTAAAAACAAATGATGTGTTTATCTTTTCTCTTCTCTCCAAAATGTCACACAATCATATTAAGTCATAAAATAAAGACATAAGGGAAATGATAACTAGAGTTAGTGGTGAAATCTGGTTTCAAATTTCCATCTTCCCATTAAAAAAGCTTCAAAGCAACAGGTAAATCATTCAACTTCCCTAAGTCTATTTCCTCCAGTAAGTAATGAAGCCAAATCAACCAAAATGATTCAAATACAGCTAACCTGTAAATAATACATGGGTCTACTTATACACAGATTTTCTTCCACCTCTACCACTCCTGAGATAGCAGAACAAATCTATTCTTTCTCAGCCTACTCCTTGGGAGGATAATGAGGGCAAAGACCTTTATGATGATCCACTTCCACTTAATGAATAGTAAATATATTTTCTCTTTCTTATGATTTTCTTAGTAACATTTTCTCTCTAATTTATTGTAAGAACCCAGTATACAATATATATAACATACAAAATATGTGTTAGTTAATTGTTTATGTTACCAGTAAGGCTTTTGGTCAACAGCAGGCTATTTGTAGTTAAGTTTGTGGGGAAGCAAAAGTCATAGACCGAGTTGTCACTGAGCAAGGGTCAGTGCTACTAACCTCTGCTTTGTTCAAGGGTCAAGTATAGTCCCATTTATGACTCAATGATGTATTGCTAAGAATGCCACATGGGTTTCTGAGGCTCAAATAATATGTAGATAAGTTATAATACAAGTTTCAAACATTTTAAAATTAATATGAAGTATAATTTAACATTTCTAAAACATCTTAATCTGAGGTTGATCGTTTTCTATACTTAAAAATAAGGAACATTCTCAAAACTACTTACATCTGGTTGAATAGCTTTAAATACTGGAACATCCATTAATGTTATCTGACCCTGAAATAAAAAGTAAAAATGACAATTTCTTCTTTGGAATGCTATACCAAGACATGTAACCTAAATTAAAATTATATTCTATACTAAAATTATTACTGAATATTCAATTTTATAAGGGCTTATAGAAAACAAAATGTAGCCCCTGTACCATTAAATAAAATTATTTCTAATTATCTAATGTCTATTTGTATTTTCTTGGAAGATAAATTGTGTAAAGTTAAAAAATATAAATAATTTTAGAATTTGGACACATTAAATTATAATCAAAAAATAAAACCATATTTATTAATTCATGCAGCAGTGTTCTTGTTATGATGATTAAATTACAGCTCCTCAGTGGTATAAAATCGAATTATTACTAAAAAGCTTTTCTTCCTAACTTATAAATAAATAATGAAACTACACTAAAGCCAACACATTATATCTCAGAGCTTTATATGTCATGGACCTATCCCACTTATGGCTATAGATATACAACAAAATTCAACAATATCAAGGAAATAATATGCTATGACCAAGCATGGTTTATCTCTGGAATGCAGGAGTGGTTTAACATTGGGAAATCAATATATTCTGCTAACAAATTAAAGGAGAATGAGAAAACAAATATATTTATATTAGTTAAGAAATGTTTTTCTAGATACCTTTCATGATGTTGCAATAACACCTTCACATTTCATGTTTCAATTGTTTAATTAAAGAACAGTGAAAGTGTTTCTTAGATATGTCAATAAAATACAGTTGGCTTAGAGAAATGGTATAGAGGGATGAAAGCAATTACCATAATGGTAATCACACACTGTTACTTACCCAATTCAGTGTAACTTATAAAGCTGCCCTAAAAAAATATGTACAGCTTTTCCTACTTTTCCCACTTTATCCCTCTGATTGCCCCACAGTTGTACTATTTTCCCCAATAATTCTCATATAGCTTCTTAAAAGCCATCTCTTTTGCTGGACCTACAAATTCTAACTCAATAGTACTAACATGTAAATTATGTGCAAAACTGGAGAAGGCAGAGATAGGAGGCTTACCGCATATTCTTCTGGCGTAACCTTAAGAACATCGAATACCACAGCATCAAAGCTTTTCTTCAATTCAGAACCTTTGTCACTTAAGGATTCAGAGCTGCTACTTTTCTGTTAAAGTGAAAGAAAACGTAGCCTTTTAAATATTGTCTCACAGTCAAGTGACAAAAACTAGACTGGCCTTAAAAACTGAGAAAAGAAACAAATGCTGCAGAAAAGTTGAGCAGAACATACTGCTTAGTTCTTAGAGTATCAGATAAAGGGTCAGACAACTTGAAATCTAAAACTGTGACTTTAAATTTTTAGGTTCTACTTTGGGAGGCCGAGGCGGGTGGATCACGAGGTCAAAAGATCAAGACCATCCTGGTCAACACGGTGAAACCCTGTCTCTACTAAAAATACAAAAAAAAAAAAAATTAGCTGGGCATGGTGGCGTGTGACTGTAATCCCAGCTACTCAGGAGGCTGAGGCAGGAGAATTGCCTGAACCCAGGAGGCGGAGGTTGCGGTGAGCCGAGATCGCGCCACTGCACTCCAGCCTGGGTAACAAGACAAAACCGTCCCAAAAAAAAAAAAACAGTAAATTTTTAGGTTCTAAATGAGTCATTTTCTTGTGTCTCTGTTTCCTCATCCTGACAGTCTATCATTTCCTATAGAAATAAATGATTTTAACTAGTTCAATGATTCTCAAATAAGGTAAAAGGAAGTCAGGGGAGAAGTCTTTACAACTATTTAAAAATTTTTAAACTAATTTTTATTAAGAAAAAGACAAATTACCTTTATAACTTATCAGAAAATACTCAGAATGCTGTTAAAGAGTTATATATGATCCATTCGTAGTTAAGTGATCTGTCTGTGATAGTACAATTAATACTATTCTTCCTATCATATTACAAATTTAAGTTTTTCTCTGCTTAAAAATTAGTTTTAAGTTTGAATATGCTGTGGCTATAAGAAGAATGAAAGGTGAATTTTGACCTCGACAATCTTATTACTGTTAAAATTTTCCACTTCACCTCCACGACATAATAATATACTCTATATCAGTTGGCTAAATTCAGGGGAACATCAATATAAGAATATTTAGATCAGGCTCTATTAAATGGTGGTAGGATATGAGGCTACAGATAACGGCAAAAAAATTAACCAACGTTTCAATTAGCACAGTAAACACAGATCAACCCACCAGCTATTATATACATCAGTTTTGAGCTCTTGTCATTATGCCTCATTTTTGTTTTCCACCCCTTTTAGTAGCAGTTACTTACCAAGTATTGAGCCATGATCATTACAAAGAAAGGGACCTGTTATTAATTTTGAAAAATTCTTAACTATTATTACTTCAAATATTTTTTCTGCTTCTTTCTGTCCTTCTGGTGTTCCCATTATGCACATGTTACACCTTTTGTCCCACAGTCCTGGGCTATTCTGTTTCTTTTTTCCATTCTATTTTCTCTTTGCATTTCAGTTTGGGAAGTTCTACTGACATATCTTCCAGCTCACTGATTCTTTCCTTAGCTGTCTGTTGGTCACCAGTCTAGTGATTAGCTCCCCAAAGGCAGTCTTCATTTTTGTCACAGTGCTTTTGAATCCTAGCATTTCTTTTTGATTCTTAAGAGTTTCAATATCCCTGCTTATATTAACCATTTGTTCTCACATTGTCCGCTTTTTTTTTTTTTTTTTTTTTTTTTTTTTTTTTTTTTTTTTTTTTTTTTTTTTTTTTTCATTAGAGCCTTTGGCATATTAATGGCAGTTATTTTAACTGCCAGTCTGATAATTGTGAAATCTCTGCCATATCAGTGTGGTCCTGTTGGTTGATTTATCTCTTCAAACTGTGTTTTTTCCTTGCCTTTCAGCATGGCTTGTAATCTTCTGTTGAAAGCTAGAAACTGTATATTGGGTAGTAGGAACTGGGGTTGAATAGGCCTTTACTGTAAGGTTTTATGTTTACCATGCTAGGCATTATGCTGTGCTTATAACTTGGTGTTGTTACAGGTGTCTGAGTCTTCAATTTCCTCTAGTATCCTTTTTTTTTTTTGATCTTCTGTTGTCTTTGGGTTTCCCTAGAAATCCCTTCTCACAATCTGAGCCTTGTAGTTCTTTCAGATAAAATGTTAATATTCTACAGGAACCCGGCTGATATGGTGGGGTAAGGTAGAAAGAGGTGTGTGTGTGGGGGGGGGGGGTGCTGGTAGGGTGGGGTAAGGTAAGGGTGTAGGTATGAGGTGGTGGAGCCCTGCTGATGTTGTGTGGTGAGGTAGAGAAGTGTGTGTGTGTGTGTGTGTGTGTGTGTGTGTGTGTGTGTTTGAGGGGGTAATGGGGGAGAGTGTCCTACACTCCTATGATTAGGTTTCAGTCTGTGACCTTCACAAATGCTACTCTGCCCCCCTCACTCTGCTTAGGTGAAACAGGAAAATTGAAGATTTTTCCTCTCCCAAGTAGGTTAACCTCTGGTGAAGTAGCTTCCGTTGAGGGCAGGTGGAGAACAGAATGCTCTGGGTATATTTCAATACGGTTACTTTCTATCTGGGTGTATTTCAAAATGGCTATTTCTCCTCCTGCTAGAAGCAGAAGGGAATTTTTCTCTGTCTTTACTGTGAGAAGCTGGTTGGCAACCAAGAGATAACAAAAATCACAAAAGTAGAGGGTGAGAAGAACCTAAGACGGCCCCCAGGAGTTTTTAACTCCCAAGCTAGTTCAGTCTCCAGCAGTTCATCAATTAGGGTTTATGTGGCTCCACTTACTTCTGCTCCCACAAGCGGTGGTTCTCTATTTGCCTGTCTCTCCAGGTTGCAGGGCATCCCTATTAGTTTGCTTCTGTGATACCAATTCTCTGATAGAGCTAAGAGAAGTTATTGATTTTCAGTTTATTTAGCTTTTTTCCTATTGTAATGACAGGAATGATGAATTCTAAGCTCTTTAGAAATTTGAGCAGAAATCTGAATTCCAGTGAATGAATCCAAGCAGAAACCTAAGGTCCCTCAAGTGTCTTATTTCATGTGTTTAATCTCTGTAACTACGACTAGTTTATAGTGTGTCAACAACATTATTTTATGTCCCAAAACTAATACAAAATTTTATTCATAATGTTAAGTACTGAAATAGACATCAGTTAAGCAGTATACACTAATCCAATAGCTGTCCAAATAACTAGATGCATTCTGTCAGATGAATACATGAATCATAAATATAAATCAGTAATTTTCTCCAAGTTTTAAACTCATTCAAGACAAGTTAGTAAATTATCATGACTATTTTATTGCTTATCAAAAAGAATAAACACTTCTTTTTTCCTTCTTAGCCACTAGAGGCTTAAAAAATTACTAGTGTGCATTTTGAAGTGCTTTCCTAATACTAGTAATAAATTGGTAATGAGACACTAAGCAATAATGTCCACTAAGAGAATGGCAGTAATTCATTCAAGGCATGACTCAAAAACTACTGATACTTCTAAATGTCTGAAAACAAGTTCACTGTAATTCTCCTACTGACAGAAACTTCAAACACAAGTTAAATATAAAAGGTACTGAGAAAAGAGAAGTCAGTCAATTCAGATGAAGTATTTTATCCATTCTGTAAGCTTATCATTTTTATAAGAAATTTGTACTTGAATTTACTAGATCTGTATTTTAAGAGAAGGTGGAAAATGTAGATTTTAAATTTTATTTTTCTTGCCACAATAAGCGGACAATTTAAAGGGCGGACTTTTTCATTCTTACTTTACATCTGCTAATATACTATACTCTGAAGCCTGATGTAATTCATTCACTTTTAGAAAAGTGAACAGAATTGTTCGTACAAGTGAAATGATCTTTTATTTGACAAATATTTGTATTCTGCCTCCTATGATACTAGAACAGGTATTTCCGGATATATAGTTAAAAATATACCATACACATACATACATATAACACATTCAAGAAATATGGTTATAAATACATGAAGAAAACAAACACATATTACAAACATATATAAACATAATCCTATGGTTATAAATATTAAAAAAAAGCTATGTATAAATTTATAGAAAAAAATTATAGAAAGAGGTTTTTCTAAGTGATAGTTTTAAAAATAGGAAAGCTCCCATCTGTTTAAGGGATTAGAGGAAGGTTTATTAAAAGCACAGCATTTGAAATATGTTTGAAAGACAAATTTTGTGTGTGTGCAGTGATGGGGAGGGGACACTAGAATGGGAAGAAAAATTCCAGCTAGAAAAACTGGTCTAGGCAAAGTTAAGACAGAATAAGGAAAATGTAATGGTTCATACAAACACCAGCAAATGTATTATATGTATTATACTCTTGTAAGAATGTAAGTTTCAAGTAGAGGATCAGTAGGGGTTAAATCCAAATATCTGGAGCCGTTTTGAAGAAAGTCTTGAATGAAAGGCCAAGGGGGCATTTGAATTTAATTAGTAGGCAATGAGGAACCACAGACAGTTTTGGGAAAAGATAAAGTTTAAGAGTTGCATTTTAAGAATACTAATCCTAAATTTCAGAAAAGGATCAGAAACAACAAAGAATACAAGTACAACAGCCACACTAAAAGGCCATGGTACTAATCTAGACAAGAAATAATAAATGACCAAACTAAGATGGTAGTATAGTAATAGAAATAAGGAGAAAAGCACTGGATCCCAGAGATAAAGCACAGTCGACAGGCTCTAAGATAGCTGCTAAAGATCTCTATTTATTGGTATTCTCACCCCTGTGTGATTCTCTCCCCTTGAGTGTGGGCAGGACCTGTGACTTGTTTCTTTTCTAACCAGTAGAATACGGAAAAGGGGATGAGATGTCATTTCCATGATCACATTACATAAAATTGTAACTTCTGTCTTGCTAGCGGACTCTCTCTGCTATGATGAGACAACGGTTGTGGTGGGCAAAATGAAGTTAATTAACAACACATCGGTCGAGCGCAATGGCTCACATCTACAATCCCAGCATTTTGGAAGGCCGACGCAGGCAGCTCACCTGAGGTCAGGAGATTGAAACCAGCCTGGTCAACATGGTGAAACCCCATCTCTACTAAAAATACAAAAATTAGCTGGGCGTGGTGGCGAGCGCCTGTAATCCCAGCTACTTGGGAGGCTGAGGCAGAAGAATCGCTTGAACCCGGGAGGTAGAGGTTGCAGTGGGCCGAGATCACATCACTGCACTGTAGTCTAGATGACAAGAGCGAAACTCTCTCAAAACACACACACACCCACCTCTGAAGATTTAAACTTAGATGACTATGGAAATGTGATGTTATTAACGTTAAGTTAGAGAAAAGGCTTGGACTATTTTCTTTATGGTTGTGGAGCAGAATAGTAATAAGAAACTTGATTTTGTGGATATTACCAATGTCTGGTCCATCAAAAATGCTTAATAAAATTCAAGAAGGATGCCAGGGCTAGAGATAAAAATAAAGAAATCATCTACATAAGAAAAACAATTGAAAACATAGACTTAGAATATTTTCAGTGATATTAAGGCCTAAGTAATTGGCTGGAACAAAATGGAGTTGAGGCTATTAAGGAACTTTGAGATCAAGGTGTTAAAGGGTCATAAACATTCTCATCCAATATACTAAGATAAAATTAAAGAGGAAATATAGAAGCTAGATGTTAAACTTATTAAGGAAAGCAGGCAAGTTCCCTAGATTTATAAACAAAGGAAAAAAAGAAAAAAGTTTGGGCAAAAATACTATCATAATATATTAACCAGAGGGGTGAGCACCTAGTTCAGTCTTCACATCTCCATCTTAAATGCTAAACTACATTTAAGTTTAGCATTTATTATTTAAGTTTAGCATAATAAGCATTTAGCTTATTCAGTAGAATAAGCCCTTCCAATATTCCAGCCTAACAGTTCTTTGGTTTCCTCTAATATACATGGAATCAAGTGATCTGAATGGTGTCCAAAATTTAGTGATACGAACTAAAAGAATCTTTCTTTGCCTTACTTGCATTATTGCCCTCAAATATGATGTGATGTAGAGGCCGGGCACAGTGGCTCATGCCTGTAATTCCAGCACTTTTGGGAGGCCGAGGTGGGCAGATCACAAGATCAACAGATCGAGACCATCCTGGCCAACATGGTGAAACCCCATCTCTACTAAAAATACAAAAATTAGCTGGGTGTGGTGGCGTGCACCTGTAGTCCCGGCTACTCAGGAGGCTGAGGCAGGAGAATTGCTTGAACACGGGAGGCAGAGGTTGCAGTGAGCTGAGATCGCACCACTGCACTCCGGCCTGGCGCCTGGAGACAGATCAAGACTCCATCTCAAAACAAAACCAAAAGCAAAATATGATGTAATGTAAAAACACTCTAAAAAGAAATTCTATGTTTCTTTTAAAACTAAAGAGTTTTATGAGTTACCACTATTTATCATTATTTTTCAAGTTAAGTAGATAAGGATTGAGTATGATGCAGAGCAAACACATGAATCACTAAAGTAAAAGTTAAAATATGTGTTGCACTTCTGATTTAAGTATACGAACAAACATAATGCTTGAAAAATTAGAAAGTCAGGTAAGAAACTTTATAACTAAGCTCCTTAAATGTCTTACCTCAGAAGCAGTAGCTGCAATATTGACGTTGCTTGCCTGCCCGTTCATTAGGTCCATGCTTTCCTCATCAGTCCCTGACCTTATGTTAACAGCAACAGAGGACTGACTGCCTCATGTCCAAGGCCACAAATACATTATTCCTGTAAAAAATAAAAAAGTTAAGCATATGTCTTCCTCAAAGTTTAAGAAAACAACTCCATGCCTACCACCATGCCAAGAAACAAAATACTTCAACTTCACTAAACTCTTTATTATTTTAGCTAAGCCACTAAATCCAGATTGAGGACAATCTTGTATGCTATTTTCAAACAATCAGAAACACCAAACAAGCAGTATTCAAAATAGATGTTATTGTTATGGTCTTCATAAGCAAAGCAAAAGCATAACTTTTTGCTAACTGGGTATTGCGAGGGAAAAAAATCAAATGCACAAATTTCTTAGTTTTGAGTAAATAAAATGTGTAAAACAACACATGGCAAAGGAACTCATACCACAACACAATAAATTTTTAGTGATCCAAATGACACCCGTAAATCAATAGTACTGAATAAGCTTATCACAGCTAGTGATCTAGATTACCAAGGTATCACAAATACTTAAAATATTACAGAATACATGTCATAAAAATATAGTCATCTCTCAGTACCCATGGGGAATTTGTTCCAGGATCCACTATAGACACCAAAATCCACAGATGCTTAAGGCCCTTATATAATGGTGCAGTATTTGCATATCACCTGTACACATCCTCTTGTATACTTTAAATCATCTCCAGATTACTCATAACACTATAATGTCAATGCTAAGTGAATAGTTGTTATACTGTATTGTTTAGGGAATTATGGCAAGGAAAAGTCTGTATATGTTCAGTACAGATGCAACCATCCTTTTTTATGCCCCAAATATTTTCCACTCAGAGTTGTTTGAATCCATAGATATAGAACCCACAGATATTGCGGCTTTACTGTAACATGATACACACTATGTTTACTTGTATAGGACTTTAAAGTTTATTGAATATCATTAATACATTATGTTGATTTACACAACTACCAATAACACTAATCAGGTAAGATATGTCAGACCTACATAACACAAAGAAACACAGAGCCTCTGTGGACACAGGATGGTAAATAAGGAGCCAAGAACAAGATTTAAGCCATCAAAATTCTAGTCAAATATTCTTTCCACAATACAGTATTTCTTTCCACTTTACTGGAAGTCACAGTACTTACTTGAAGTTCTAATATCTTTTTGAAAATAACCTCCCATATAAACGGAGTAGGTAACTTTACCTCTCTAGGACAAAATTTCTTCCTCTCTGTAAAATAGTAGAGGTAAATAAACTTTAGGATCTCTTTTCAACTTTAAAGATCTATGATATTTTTCATAAGTGAAATGGTATGTGTCTATAAATTAGGTATTCTATGCTCTCTTTAAAAGCTGAGTTTTAGGCCAGGCGTGGTGGCTCATGCCTATAATCCCAGCACATTGGGAGGCCGAGGTGGGTGGATCACGAGGTCAAGAGATCAAGACCATCCTGGTCAACATGGTGAAACCCTGTCTCTACTAAAAATACAAAAATTAGCTGGGCATGTTGGCGCAAGCCTGTAGTCCCAGCTACTCTGGAGGCTGAGGCAGGAGAATTGCTTGAACCCAGGAGGCAGAGGTTACGGTGAGCCAAGATCGTGCCACTGCACTCCAGCCTGGGTAACAAGAGCGAAACTCTGTCTCAAAAAAAACCAAAAAACAAAAACAAAAAACTGAGTTTTAAATGTCAATTACTTCAATGCTAAGTTTCCTTTCTCTGGAGCCATATAGGATATGGTGATTTAAAAGCACAAATTTTGGAACCACACTACCTGTGTGTAAACCCAGGAAATTTTAACCTTTCTGTACTCAGTTTTTTCAACTATAAAATAGGGATAATAAGAAATACCTATTTCACAGAGTTGTAGTGAAGGGAAATGAGTTCATATATGCAAAGTACCTACAACAGTGTTGGGCCATGGTAAATATGCTATTAATATAATGCAATGATGATGCAGGTATTGCTATTTACTTAATCCCCGTAAAGCTTAAATTCAACAGTCTCTTAAATAAAGAAGACAAAACCTTAGAAATATACCTTTGCCAAGTGATTGCTGCTGAGCATCACTAAAAATCCTAATTGCAAACACAATGAATGAGAATGGCTAAGATATGTTTCCTAGATGTAGCAAAACATGCTCTTAGTTTGGAAATGCTTAAACATTATTACTAATGATAGCAGGCTTCAGTCACATCTTGAATTTATCTTCATTTATTCAGATATGGCCTAAGCACCTGCCAAGAGCAGAACACTGTGCTGGAACTTTTAAAACAGAAATATATTCAAAATCATTAAGTTTTAAAACCATTTAAAGCACCCACATAAATCAATGTGAAAATGAATAAAGCATAAAAATACTTTAATTTCCTCCCACCTAAACTATCTCATTCTATAAGCTTCATTATGAAGAATCAACTTATATTTATACTGTTATACAATAAAACCAACTTAATAATCCAGTTTGCAATAAAATAGTTTTCAAATAATTTCATTTCACTCCACTTTCTATGCAAGATTAAGTATAACATGAATTTATAAATCAGGGGTGCCCCCTAGTGCTAAGAAAAAGATTTTAATTTCATTAGTTAAAGGAGTTACATCTTTAACTTACTTTATATATCAAAATATAAATTTTATTATTATTACTTTAAAAAAGGTAATACAGACCAGGAACAATATTAATAAAGAATCACATTTTTCTCTGCCCTTTTTTTTTTTTTTTTTAATGAGGCAGAATTTTCCTCGTTGCCCAGGCTAGCGTGCAATGGCATGATCTCACCTCACTACAACCTCCACTTCCCAGGTTCAACAAATTCTCCTGCCTCAGCCTCCTGAGTGGCTGGGATTATAGGCACAAGTCACCACACCTAGCTACTGTTTTGTAATTTTTAGTAGAGACAGGGTTTCACCACGTTGGCCAGGCTGATCTGGAACTCCTGACCTCAGGTAATCTGTGGCCTTGGCCTCCCAAAGTGCTGGGATTACAGGCATGAGTCATCGCACCTGGCCTTCTCTGCTTTTTAAATAAATTGTCACTCACGCATTTCATGAAAATTAAGGTCATATTAAAATCCATTTCTTATTTTAAAATACAGCAAAGCATACCTTAAAGTAAATAAACTTTTAATGACTATTTAAAAATGTACATGTCAATAGTATTGAATAATGTTGAAGTATAACAGAGAGGCTTATATGATACTATAAAAATACTATAAGTTCTAAAAGACAGAGACATGGGTTTATTCTTTTAGTATGTGCCTCAAAGACCTTTCTATACTTTGCACACAGAAAAGTTCACATTAAATATACCAAATATATGCTTTAATATTTTATTTACTTTTCTTAGCGCTGTAAATGACACAATCTTTCAACATGGCTACCAACATCGTAGCAGCCATTTTTTTTTAAGAGACAGGGTCTTGCTATGTTATGCATGCTGGAACACATGGCACAATCTTAACTCACTGCAGCCTCCAACTCCTGGGGTCGAGCAATCCTCCCACCACCTCAGCTTTCTGAGTAGCTGGGACTACAGTTGTGTGTCACCACATCCAGCTAATTTTTTACATTTTTTGAGACAGAGTATCACTATGTACATTGTCGTCCATAAAACAGCAGACATTACTTCCACATCTCAACTAAAAATACAAAAAATTAGCTAGGCATGGTGGTGAGTACCTGTAATCCCAGCTTCTTGGGAGGCTGAGGTAGGAGAAATCGCTTGAATCTGTGAGGTGGAGGTTGCAGTGAGCCGAGATTATGCCATTGCACTCCAGTCTGAGTGTCTCAAAAAAAAAAAAAAAAAGTTTAAAAAGAAAGTTACTTCATTCACTTAAAATTGTTAAAATTGTCTTGCCTTCAGTCAGTAAGAGACTCTACACATAAATCTCCCAGACATAACTTTGTCACATTTGCACTAAATTATGAAAGCATGGGCTGATTCATTTGTAAACTGTCCCACATCTACACAGAGAGCTTATATTTCCAATATACCTAAACAGCTTAAAACTAAACAATGTGTAGGGGAAGAGAGATTTTCAAATGATTAAATATTAAAGGGAGAAAAATTATAAAATAATGCATTTTGAGGTTATGCTTTATCTTCTGTCTAGTAAGTTCACTCAAGATAATTTGCTAAGTAATTCTAATAGACAAGCACTGAGATCTCCTAAGATACTTGACCCAAAATATGAATATAGGTTAACTAGAAATTCAGGTAATAGAAAAAGAAGTTCCAAATAAAAAGATAAACTGTGCTCCAAAAATTTTGTGCTTTTGTTTTTGGTGGGTATGAAGGTATTTTGGCCAGATGCTCTACTCAAAAGACTACCCCATAAAAGTTCACTTAACTCATTATCGTATATATTCGTAATAAAACAAACAAACAAATCAACATCCGGATATAACATTAGCAGTTAAAGCATGAAACGACCCAAGTGAATCAGAAATAGGTTTAAATATATGATAAAAGTGTGCTACTGTGGACCTAGGAATGGTCAGAAAAAGGAACACAGTGTGTTAGTATGGAACAGTGGAAAAGAAAAACAACATGGCAGTGCTAACGGGGTAAGGCAGACATCAAGATTCCATGGTTGGAGGTTCTTGGGTATAAGAGATTCCCTATGCCTTAGGGGAGAGCCATTAGGGATCTCTTGTACCTGGAATGTGAGGCTAAACTGAACATCACAGAATATTCTATAGGCAAGGGACTGCTACATAATGGAAAACTATGCAGCCATTAAAATATCATATAGTTAGTGACACATGAAAAAAATATTTAAAACATAGTGCTAAATGAGTAAAGCAATTTACCAAACAGTATTTAAGGTATAGTCCTTTTTGGTTATTATTATTATTATAACATAAAGAAAAGATATGTACTAATGTACACCAAAATGTGGTTATGTCTAGGTTTATAAGACAATTTTTCCCTGACTTTAGCTTACTTACATATTTTTAAATTTTTTACAAAGGCATTAATTAGGAAAAAGTAAAAAAAAAAAAAGTTTTTCCTCACAGACTGCTTATTAGTTACAAGAAAAAAAAAATAAGTAACTATACTATGAAGAACTGGGCAATCCCTTAACTGAGTAGCTCAAAATTATTATCACCAATGAGGAAAAGAGACATCATGTGCCTCTAGATGTGACAATACTCTGGGAAAGACACATCATCACTGACAAGAAGTTGAACTGGGAACCCATAACTGAAATCTAATCTCAAGGACATGGAAAAACCTAATCTGAGGAACATTCAATATATTCTTCAAAAAATGCCAATGTTATGAGAAAGGCAGAAGAACTATTACAATTTAAAGGAAATGCAAGAGATAGGACAACTAAAGGTCCTGTATCAGATGGTAGTAAATGCTTTAAGGGATATTATTGGTAAATCACAAAATTGGAATACAGACTGTAGATTACTGTATCAATTTCCTAAATGTGACAATTTCCTGTAGTTATTAATACATAAAAGAACACCTTTGTTCTTAAGAAACACAGAAATATTAAGAGGTAAAAGGGTGGGGAGGTGCAATGGCTCACACCTGTAATCCCAGCACTTTGGGAGACTGAAGTGGGTGGATCACCTGAGGTTAGGAGTTTGAGACCAGCCTTGCCAACATGGTGAAACCCTGTCTCTACCAAAAACACCAAAATTAGCTGGGCCTGGGTACGCGCCTGTAGTACCAGCTGCTTGGGAGGCTGATGATGCAGTCCGCCAAGATCGTGCCACTGTACTCCAGCCTGGGCAACAAGGTGAAACTGTCTTAAAAAAAAAAAAAAAGTATGAAGTATGCAAACTACTCTCAAATATTTTAGGAAAACAGTATGTATATGTGTGACAGAGAAAAATAAAGTGAATGATAAAGGTAATGTGGCATCTTTTCCTCCCCCCGCAACATGGTGAATTAGAGACTTTTAGCATGCCTCAGCCACTTGGAAATACCAAGATAGTGCATAAAGATCAACTGTGGGTAGGGCATGTTAGCTCAAGCCTGTAATCCCACCATCTGGGGAGGCCAAGGTGGGTGGATTGCTTCGCTTAAACTTAGGAGTTCAAGACCAGCCTGGATGACATGGTAAAATCCCGTCTCTGAAAAAAAAAAAAAAAAAAAAAAAATCAGCCAGACATGGTAGTGTGCACCTGTAGTCCCAGCTACCCTGGACACTGAGGCAGGAGAATCACCTGAGCCTGGGAGGCCAAGTCTGCAGTGAGTCATAACCATGCCACAGCACTCTAGCCTAGGTCATAGGGTGATCTAGGTCATTTTTGTCTCAAAAAAAAAAAAAAAAAAAGCAATCAACTCTACAAGCTTTAATTCAGGAAGGAAAACAGAAACCCAGTAGAATCATAAAGGATACCCAGATACCAGGAAGAAGAACACAGGCTGACAAAAGTGAGTGAAGCCCCAGTATGCAAGAAAGGCAGAGAACCTCTCTGTGACA